GGTCAGATGACACCTGCCCGCTAGACATGTACACCTTACAATCATTCCATACACCAAATATAGTAGACCTATGGCATACAGTATAAGAAAAACAGACTAAAACACAAAAACTTAACTATAACCACTGAACCATGAAAATGAGGTCAAGGTCAGATGACACCTGCCAGTTGGACATGTACACCTTACAGTCCTTCCATACACCGAATATACTAGACCTATTGCTTATAGTATCTGAGATATGGACTTGACCACCAAAACTTAACCTTGTTCACTGATCCATGAAATGAGGTCGAGGTCAAGTGAAAACTGTTTGACGGGCATGAGGACCTTGCAAGGTACGCACATACCAAATATAGTTATCCTATTACTTATAATAAGAGAGAATCTAACATTACAAAAAATCTGAACTTTTTTTTCAAGTAGTCACTGAACCATGAAAATGAGGTCAAGGACATTGGACATGTGACTGACGGAAACTTCGTAACATGAGGCATCCATATACAAAGTATGAAGCATCCAGACCTTCCACCTTCTAAAATATAAAGCTTTTAAGAAGTTAGCTAACGCCGCCGCCGCCGCCGGATCACTATCCCTATGTCGAGCTTTCTGCGACAAAAGTCGCAGGCTCGACAAAAACCTTGTTAGTCACACAATAAATATGTTTCAATTATGATCAAATTACACATGACCAAACATCCTTCTATCCAGCATGAGCTCAGACGAGTTGTGTTATAGTATTCTTTTTAGTATATAGGCATTAAAATGTTAAAGGGAAATAACTCTAACAGAAAAAGAAGAAGTGGAATGACAATAGGTTCATCTACTTAGCAATTATTTCAGAAGAGCACCTTCACAAAGTAGAAAGGTAAAATAACAGACAAATGGATAAGGTCAATTACTTAGATGCTCTTTTTTTATGCTGTGATTATTCTACGTTGAATTTTAAAATTTGTTGTTTGCTGTACTGTAAATTCAGAAATTATTGCATGCATTTATTATTGCGATTTTTGAAGAATGGACAAAAATGCGAGATTAATTATTGCGATTTCAGGACAATCTGAATACAGATATATGTATCAGATATCAGAATGTGAGTTCATTGTGATACTAACCCTGTCACATTATTCACATTAATAAAAACCTTGCAATAATTTCTGAATTTACAGTATATGCCCCCTAAATTCTACCATTTTTGGTATACCATTAATATAAATGAATCCACAGTAGTTAAAGAAAAGACTGATGAAAATATAAGATAACATACTTAATGCACAATTAGTAAAACAAAAATCTAAACAAAACAAACAAACCAAACAAACATCACAATAATAATAAAAAAAAAGGCGCTTCGCCTGGAGCAGCTGGATACGACCACAGAGGTCGAACTCTGAACAGTTGGGGCAAGTATGGACACAATATTCAAGCTTGATACAGCTCTGAATTTGGATAGTGATTAAATATTTGACACATTATAGATTTCTGACACAGAATAAATGTGGTCAGATAAGTCAAAAATTTGAAATGGGACATTTAATTTACTTAATGGTCTAATATCCAAAATCTAATTCCATGGTTAGATTCAGCATATAAAAAAATAAAATGCTTCGCTGAGCGCAGCTGGATACGACCGCAGAGGTCCAACCCTGAACAGTTGGGACAAAAATGGACACAATATTCGTGCTTGATACAGGTCTGAATTTGAATTGTAAATAAATATTTGACACATAATAGGTTTCTGACACCGAATAACTGTAGTCAAAGAATGTAGAATTGGTTATATGATTTGAATTTATATTCAATTTTTTGCTTTTGTGCAATACACTATGCTGTTGCAAAATTCAACACCCCCCCAAAAAAAAAATTACCCCACTTTTTTTTTGCTTTTGTGAAATACACTATGCTGTTGCATATTGACCCCTACCCCCCCCCCAAAAAAAAAAATAAAAAATTTACCCCCCCTTATTTTGCAAAAAAAAAAAAAATAAGAAGAATATATGCCCCCCCACAATTTCTTTTTTACCCCCCTCCCCCCCAAATTTTTTTTTCACCTCCCCCCCCCCCCCTTTTCCAAAAAAAATTCTTTCCCTCAAGATATGGTCATAATCTCAATTCAAATTTCCAATGGAGTTTGCAACCATAATTACCAATTTAAATACATCATAAAAGTCTTAAAATAGAAAAAATACCCCCCCCAAATTTTTTAGACCTCCTTATGATTCATCACCCCCAAACTCAATCCCAGCCTTCCCTTTGGGGTATGGTACCTTGCAGTACAATTTCAGAGAGATCCATACACTTGAACACAAGCTATTGTCTGGAAACTAGAAAAATGCTTGTTTTTTTGCCCCTTTTTGGCCCCAAATTCCTGAACATTTAGGGCAATTACCCCCAAACTCAAACCCAGCTTTCTCTTTGTGATATGGAACCTTGTAGTACAATTTCATAAAGATCCATACACTTACACACAAGTTATTGTCCTGAAACTAGAAAAATGCTTGTTTTTTCCCCCTTTTTGGCCCCTAATTCCTAAAATTTTGAGGCAATTACCCCCAAAATCCATCCCAGCCTTCACTTTGTGGTATGGTACCTTGCAGTACAATTTCAGAGAGAGATCCATACACTTGAACACAAGTTATTGTCTGGAAACTAGAAAAATGCTTATTTTTTGCCCCTTTTTGGCCCCAAATTCCTAAACGTTTTGAGCAATTACCCCAAACTCAATTCCAGCTTTCCCTTTGTGATATGGAACCTTGTAGTACAAATTTAGAAAGATCCATACACTTACACACAAGTTATTGTCATGAAACTAGAAAAATGCTTGTTTTTTGCCCCTTTTTTGGCTCCTAATTCCTAAAATTTTGAGGCAATTACCCCCAAAATCAATCCTAGCATTCCCTTTGTGACATGGAACCTCGTGGTAAAATGTGAGAGAGATCCATACACTAACACACAAGTTATTGTCTGGAAGTTACAAAAATGCTTTTTTTTTGCCCCTTTTTGGCCCCTAATTCCTTAACTGTTGGTACCATAACCCCAAAAATCAATCCCAACCTTCCTTTTGTGGTATTGAACCTTATGGTAAAATTTCAGAGAGATCCATTTGCTTAAACTAAAGTTATTGTGACTTCGGACGACGATGACAACGACACCAACGTCATACCAATATACGACGTATAAAAACATGAATTCAAACAAAGTTTAATTTTGGACCCTTTGGACCTTAATATGGAATTATTTGAAAACAGGGCCCAAGATTAAAAATCTTAATGCATAGTTAGATTCAGCATATCATAGAAGCACAAGAATTCAGTTTTTGATGAAATCAAACAAAGTGTAATTTTGGACCCTTTGGACCTCAATGTAGACCTATTTAAAAATGTCCAAATATCCAATATAGTAATACATGGTAAAAACCTCAAACAATTCAAAACTTTAAATTAATCCTCATTGAAATTGGTAAAAAGATTTGCATTTATTTTCAATTGAAGATTTCTTGCTGTTGTGCAATACTTTGCTGTTGTGCAATACTTAGTAAATCTGTTTACAAACTGAATATAATAATTTACACGCCTTGTTTGACATATTGTATTGTGTACGAAGATCCCTCCGTGAATGGAGCACCCCTCGATTACTGCGAGGGTACAGTGGAATCCATGTACACTCCCTATCAGGAATAATGGAGATGTGTCACTAACTTATATACAACCCACCACCAGGACAATCCCCAACCCAACACAGAGGGAGTGTTAGGAGACACAGGGAAGTCTGTTATTTTGGTGGAGGAAGCCGAAGTACTCAGAGAGAACCACCAGGCTTCTCGGCGGGAACAGACAAACCGAAGAGATTTCTATAGATTGATCTCCAGGTCAAAGTCGGGGGCCACTTTGACCAACCGAGGCCCCCAAAGTACCCATTCTAGTTTAATCTCCGGTCTAGGTACTTGTCAGTATTTGTTGTTTCTTTATATAGATCAGAAATAATTTATGTTAGAACCAGCTTAGCCAGTATTAGAAAAGTCTTATTTTGGCCCCTAGTTTCTTAACGTTAAAGCCACAGCCCACAAAATCAACCCCAACCTTCTGTGTGTGGTATGGAACCTTGTGATACAATTTCATAAAGATCCATTGACTAATACTTAAGTATTTGTCCGGAAACCAGAAAAACCTTGTCCCTCCCCCTTTTTGCCCCTTATTCCTGAACGGTTTGAACCATAACCCCCAAAGTCAAGCCCAACCTTCCCTTTGTGGTATGGAACCTTGTGTTTCAATTTCATAGAGATCCATAGACTAATACTTAAGTAATTGTCCATTAACCAGAAAAACCTTGTTTTTCCCCTTTTGTTTGCCCCTTATTCCTGAACAGTTTGGGCCATAACCCCCAAAGTCAATCCCAACCTTCCCTTTGTGATATGGAACCTTGTGGTACAATTTCATAGAGATCCATACCCTTATACACAAGTTATTGTCCAGAAACTACAAAAAAATGCCTTTTTTGGCCACTTTTTGACCCCTAATTCCTAAACAGTTGGGACCATAACCCCTTAAATCAATCCCAACCTTCTTTTTGTGCTATTGAACCTTGTGGTTAAATTTCATAGAGATCCATTCACTTATACTAAAGTTATTGTCTGGAAACCAAATGTCTTCGGACGACATGATAGCAATATACGAACACAATTTTTTTGGGGTCGTATAAAAATAGTTTGAAGACTCAAATGGCGGGGTTGCAAATTCAAACAACTTCCATTTCTGTAAATTTGAAATAAGCTTAAAAAGGGAGGTAGACATTGATAAGCTAAGTATGTTATGTTATTTATTTTTATATTACTTAGTATATTTGTCTGTATTGTATTTTTTAACATGCAATCTTTATTACTATTATCTTCGACAAGTGCTAAAATTCCTTTATCTTTTTCTTAAAGATATTTTCTGTATATATACTAGAATGAAGGATTTCTTCACATATCAAAGATTCTCTTTTTTTGGCAAAAGGAAATAACATCTGTTTAAGTATGGTTAATTCAAAGATGATATTAAAACAAGATATTACTAGAAATCAATACCTTTTACACTACTTTATAAACAAAATCAGGGCAAAATGTTTTCAACATTGAAACAATGTATTTAGCATTGAAACAATGTATTAAGCATTGAAACAATGTATTAAGAATTGAAACAATGTTTTAAGAATTGAAACAATGTATTTAGCATTGAAACAAGGGATTTGGATTATCATAAGTGAAACATAACTTTGTAACTGTATAATAAAATTATCTTCACAGAAATAAATTGGTAAATTACAAAATTTCAGAATACAAATGGTGATATTATATGATTGTCTTCTTATCAAGTCAAATACAATAAATACCAAACATGATGAGAGGAATCAGTATAATACTTTTCAGGGGAGATAATCTGAACCACTTGTTGTGCAGAAAGGAATAAAAGTTCTTAAGGCACAACTCCTGCAAATCTTTAAAATTACAATTATTGTATAATTTATCATAATTCAAGTTCACAAAGAAGGACATACAACTTTAAACAAGTATCTTTAAAAATACTTCATACAAAAGATGTCAGAATGAAAATTGATGGCAGATCTATCACTTTTCTTGCTTCTTCAAATGCAGGCCTTTGGGTTTATATTTTTTTCCAATCCTAAATACTATAGACAATACAAAACAATACAATAAAAAGAAAAAAAAAAAACATCATGTAAAATATGTAAAAGTTGATTGTCATATGCTAACATTAACCTGCATGATATCATTTATAATTCAGCAATCTATAAAAACTACCTTCAACTTTTAAAATTCAAATATTATAAACTTGACCTAACATAACATACTAAATCTTACCATTTATTTAATTCTAGCACTTAACATGGTAAAGTTTGTTTAAAGAACTTCTCTTCTTGTCTTCAGTAAGACTGTGAAGGTTGAGAATGAAAACAATGATTTTAATCAGCTGAAATCTGGAAACTCACAATTTTTTTCAGATTTAAAAAAAGATGATATTTCTAAAATCTGAAATTATAGCAATTAGAGAAAACATTTGCCTGTGCCTGAGATTCATTTAGAGTGATTTACTAATTCCAAAGTCAATAAATAATTTGATAGTACATTCATTGAAACGTTGTAATACAACACAAAATGCTACCTCCTCCAAATGAAAATTACATTCATATTCATTCCAAATTTTCTTAGTCATTAGTTGTCTATAAGACACACATTTTAAACAAGAGGCTCATGAGATCCTGATATCGCTCACCTGTAATTTCAGTTTCAGGCATGTGACGTATTTGTAGATCTTACTTTGCTGAACAATTTTGCCATTTACACTTTCTCTCCTTCTATAATAGTATTAAAGATAATACATAACCCAAAACTGTAAAATTTTCTAAAAATTAACTATTTCTGGACAGTAACCCTACACTAAGTTGTCCTATTGGTCTGAAGATTACTTGACAGGTAGATCTAAACCTGTTTAACACTTTCACCTATGTCATGTTTTTGAATGGATCAAATCCCCGAATACAATCTATAAACTAAATACCCTAAGGAACATTCAATTAAAGTTTTTAAGAATTTGGCCAAGTAGTTTCAGAGAAGAAGATTTTTGAAAAAGTAATTAGACTTTCACAAAAAATTTTAAAAAAAAAGTTTTAAGGGCAATTACTCCTTAAGGGGTGAATTGACTATTTTGATCATGTTGACTTATTTGGAGATCTTACTTAGCTGAACATTTATTGCCATTTATACTTTCTCTCTATCTATTATAATATTAAAGAAAATAACCAAAAACTGTAAAATTTAATAAAAATAAACTATTTCCAACAGTAACCCAACAATGGGTTGTCGAACTTGTCTGAAAATTTCATAACAGATAGATCATGACCCATTTATCACTTTATCACTTTAACTCCCTTTCACTTTTGCTGTAACTGCTGTAGTTTTTGATATATGCCAAAAACTGCTTTTGTCCCCTATGTTCTATTTTTAGCCATGGTGGCCATGTTTGTTAATAGATCAAAACATCGGATACAATTTATAAACTAGATACCCTAAGGAACATTCAGTTAAAGTTTGGAAGTATTGGGAACAGTAGTTTCAGAGAAGAAGATTTTTAAATATTAGCAAACATGATGAACAAATTGTTTAAAATTGTCTTTAAAGGGCAATAACTCCTTAAGGGGTCAATTGACAATTTTGGTCATTTAACTTTTTTGTAGATCTTACTTTGCTGAACATTTTTGCTGTTTATATTTCATCTTTATCTTCAATAATAACCAAAAACTGCAAAATTTCCTTAAAATTACCAATTAAGTGGCAGCAACCCAACAATGGGTTGTTCGGTTAGTCTGAAAATTTCAGGGCTGATAGATCTTGACCTATTGAACATTTTTACCTCCATGTCAGATTTGCTCTAAATGTTTTAGTTTTTGAGATATAAGCCAAAAACTGCATTTGAACCCTATGTTCTATTTTTAGCCAAGGCGGCCATTTTTGTGGATCAAAACTTTGGATACAATTTATAAACTAGATACCCTAAGGAACATTCAGTTAAAGTTTGAAGGTATTTGGCACGGTAGTTTCAGAGGAGAAGATTCTTGAAATAGTTTACACCGACGACAGACGACGACGGACGCCAAGTGATGGCATAAGCTCACATGGGGCCCTTCGGGCCCAGTGGGCTAAAAAAGGCTGGAATCTTTGTTGAGGTGAGAAAAAAATGATGATAAAATTAGTTACTCAGAAATTTAAACAAGAAATAGCTATACAGTTTTCTTATTCTGGCTTTCATAATGTTGCTGAGTCTTTTCCAGATTAAATAATGGATTCTGATATGATGTATTGCCTTCTTCTGTTCTAGAAACCATTTCAGAATAGAATCTAGGTGTATCCTTGTCTTCTTTCTACAAAAAAAACAACACAAAAGTTATAAAACTGAGTTAAAATAAATGAGAATTCATAGTTTGTCTAGATGGTTAATGACTTTTAACAACAGTAACTTGTTGTTACCTGTAATAATTTTCAGCTGAGCTGTGCAAACTACATCAGGTAAAATAATTTAAATCAAACTACACCAAGTTGAATAAACTACATAAAACTACTTCATTTTAAAATAAATTCAACTATTTCTGGTAAAAATCACACGTGCTGGACAAGATTTAAAAAAAAAAAGAATGTTGAGAACACTTACAAGGTCAATAACTTGCTTCTTTGGAAAAAAACTACTGGTGATAGTTCCAAGAAAATTTTTTTCAAATAAGTTGGTTGAACTACTTTAAACTGTTCGAAAGATATTAAAATAAAGCACACATGAAGATTTTAGGCCTATAAATAAATAAATGTGGATAGTGTCCTCATGTGGACAGAGATGATGCCCCCGCTTGCATATCATATAGTTATAAAGGGACATAACTGAAGAACAGTAAAAGAGACGCTACCCAAATTTGAACTTGTTCTGAGTTTTGTGGTAATAAGCATTATGTGTAAGTCTCATAGCATTTGGTTGAGGCTAACTTTAGAAGAGAACAGAAAATTCAGCAATTTTTCTATTTGTAAACACACACTCTAGAACGGTTGTGTATAAGTTTTATAACATTTGGTTGAGACAAACTAAAGTTAGAGAACGGAAACGAAAAATTCAGCAATTTTTATGTTTATAAAGGGACATAACTCAAGAATGGTAAAAGTGTCGCCACCAAATTTCGTACTTAATCTGTATTATGTAGTAATAAGCATTGTGTATAAGTTTCATAACATTTGGTTGAGGCAAACTAAAGTTAGAAAACAGAAACAAAAAATTTGTACTTGATCTTAGTTTTGTGGTAATGAATATTGTGTATAGGTTTCATAATGTTTGGTTGGGGCAAACTTAAGTTACAGAATGGAAACTAAAAATTTTGCAATATTTCGATTTATAAAGGGGCATAACTCAATAATGGTTAAAGTGACACTACCCAAATTCAACTTGATCTGTGTTAAATAAGTGGAAGTCAAAATTAAACATTGCATTGTATAAATCATTGATTGTAGTTGATTCAACTATAATCATGGACAAAGGAAGATAACTCCAATTTTAAAAATTACTTGATATTTAGAAGAAAATAATAAAAATTTTGCAATTTTTCCATTTATAAAGGGGCATAACTCTAGAACGGTTAAAGAAAGTGATGCCACCAAAATTCAAACTTGATCTGAGTTTTGTGGTAATAAGCATTGTGTATAAGTTTCATAACATTTGGTTGAGGCAAACTTAAGTTAGAGAACGGAAACTAAAAATTTAGCAATTTTTCCATTTATAAAGGGCCATAACTCTAGAACGGTTAAAGTGACGCCACCAAAATTCAAGTTTGATCTGTGTTTTGTGGTAATAAGCATTGTGTATAAGTTTCATAACATTTGGTTGAGGCAAACTTAAGTTAGAGAACGGAAACTAAAAATTTTGCAATTTTTCCATTTATAAAGGGGCATAACTCTAGAACGGTTAAAGTGACCCCACCAAAATTCAAACTTGATCTGTGTTTTGTGGTAATAAGCATTGTGTGTAAGTTTCATAACATTTGGTTGAGGCAAATTCAAGTTAGAGAACGGAAACCAATTTTGGGACGTACGTTCGTACCTACAGACGGACAAGGGTAAAACATAATGCCCCCACCACTACGGCGGGGGCATAAAAAGTTATGGTATACAAGTATTGAAAAACATATCCGAAATGGTAGAAGTCAGACACTTGCTGGGACACAGACGCTTCATCTGACTAGAAGCTTTCGGGCATACCAATACTAAATTTAACGTCACTGTGCTTTTAACATGAAAATTACTGGTACATAAATTAGCCTACCTTCACATTGATTTCACCAATTTTCTTTAAACTGGACCAATAAGATCTATTGTTTCAATTCATTTATTCATTTGCCGAGGCTGTATATTATTGTAAGGAAAAGTAAATTTTGTGGGAAATGATTGAAAAAGAGAAGATTATAAAGTATGATGGAATAACAGTTAGAGAGGTACAGAAATCTACCTGAATTGTTTTGAAACATTGATTAATGACATCTGCAAGATATTCCACCTGGTCTGTGATAACAGTTATAGTTTCATCCATTAATTTACCATTGACGTAAACAAATATTATCTTTTTTGGGAGGGCTTCATATGTCCACTGTTTAACACAGAACCATGGTAAAACTGTCACATCAACATCTGAAATTTTAATTATCCAAGGGTTATAAAAATGCCAGATTACTTTCATACCAACATTGCAAAAAAAATTTTTGCATACAGAAAATAACAAAAAAAGTGTACTACTGTAGATTCATTTATTTTTGATGATTGAAGAAAAATTGTATTTCCGTGGAAACTTGAATTCTTGGATTTGCCAAAGTTTTCATTCAAGTCTATAGGAAATTCCTACTTTGTTGAACATTGAAATTCGTGGTGTGCCTATATCAATGAAATCCACAAAAAATAGTTACCCAATGAATTATGATGAATCCACAGTATTAACGACTTTGCTTTGAAAGTCTTTCTTGACGATGTATCTCCCAGCTATATATAAAGCTGAACATACAGTATAGACACTTGTCTATTGTTGAAGTTTGAATGTTGACCACTAGATGTCATTTTTCCACAACTTTGGTGATAATTCAGGAAACACAGTCTTATGGGTATACATGTTATTACTATGGCAACAATCCAGCTGTTTATCAATGGTTATCAGAAATGTCTTGTGATAGAATATAATTTCCAGTGAACATCAAAATAATCTAACAGTTTGTCCAGTTTGATTGGGAAGGGCAGCTCCACTGAAGTTAACCTTCTTGTCAATAAAGTTTGTGAATAATAATAATATACTTTACCTGATGTATTAATCTTCAGATGAGAGACATTAACTTTAACATGACACTTACATTCACCCTACAAAATTATACAGATGGATTACAAAATATTGTCTTCATAATATTCCAAAAATATTTTATTATCAAAGAATTGCTTAATTGTAGTGTTATGATAGCTGTTGTTTGTCTTTCCATCACTTTTTTTTTCTTTTTGTCCATAGTCATATTAGTGTTTCTATTTTTTTTTCCCCAACTTATTGTTTTTAAAAAATCATAAAAGTTAAACAGACAATGTCATGTAATTAGAAAGAAATGATTTTTTTTTTTCAATTCAATTGATTTTAATGAATTTCATTTGGATGAGTTTTTTGTTTGTTTTTTTTTTGTGTCATCCGGTAGCTGTCTTATTGACAAACAACCAAAATCAATGTTTACTCATATCCAATACATGTACACATACAAAAAGGAGAGAATTTAAAGTACCAGAAGAACAAATTATTGGTATCCCTATTTTAAAAAAAAGTCGAATACAAATCTTGGCAAACTTCTTTTAAGGTGGTACCTAACACTACAGGGAGATAACTCTGTAAAAATCAGCTAAACGTTTTAATTACGTTGTATTGTTAAGGAAATATTACGCTTCTCAATGATCAAAATTAGTGTTTGTCAAACTGCTATATAACCAACGAAATTTTTCTGATAAAGTGGTTGGTTCAAATTCTTTGTAATTTTTATATTTTTGTCAAAGGGTCAAAGTAAACATTTTGTCAAAATTTTATGAAAATTAAACGAGCCAAATTAATTTTAGTCAAGGTGTTAGGTACCACCTTAAATGGATTTTTCTTAAAACATCACATCCTTAGAAAAAATACAAACTAAGTATTTGTAAAAATTTATTTTGACTTTTGACTGTAATGTCGTATTACCTCCTTCTCTAAAACAACACAGTCTTCTAGCTGAACATCAAAATAATCTGCTATGGAATGACACAATAACACATATTTCTCTTCACATCTGAATCTCTCATCAGAATATTCTACAAATATATGTATTTTCAAAGGAAATAAGAAGTTTGTGATGATGTAATTACAGTAAGTATGCTATCTGAATATATCTTAAAGAAATGTACCCTAGATTGTTAATTGTTAAAATTGAGAATGGAAATGGGGAATGTGTCAAAGAGACAACAACCCGACCATAGAACAGACAACAGCAGAAGGTCACCAACAGGTCTTCAATGCAGCGAGAAATTAGACTACTAGCAAATAGAACTTAAACATTCACTAGTTTTCATATCATGAAGGGAAACTTGTTGCAGAGTACTGTCTCCCCTGCATGTAATTTTAATAGTATACTGCAAATGTTGAAATTAAAATGGCAAAAATTCTGTATTTTAAATATGCAAAACTTTTGAAGTTATTGAACCATAACTGAATAATCTCTGCACAAATGAGAAATAACAATGTTTGTACAACTGCATTCCCAGTTAGTATTAATTCATCTAGTTGTGCTGTTTTCACATAGGACAAGCTTGGTGAGCAAAATTCAAAATCGTGGCCTCGCAAAAGAATATAAAAAATAAAGCAATAATTTAAGTAAATCATTATTGGATTTCTTAGAATAAGCTTTTTTAGAACCAGCAGTGTGCTGGTGATCAGTGTATATTATTTTACGTTTTATTACAATAAAATACAATCCATAACCATAATATAAAAATGAAACATCCTGCTCAATGCTCGTTGAAATAACCTGCAAAATGGTCATCTATCACACATTTCTCGCTAAATATTGTTACAGTAATCGATTCTTTGATCAAATTAAGATATTTTGTCAGACTCTGAGGTGTTTATACAGTGATAGAAATTTCCTAGATCGTTAACTTTTGTAATACCTCTGATTTTTCATGTATTAAATTGTCTTTTCTATGCATCATGGTTATTTACTTAGATGATTTGAGGGTACTAAAAGAAGGTACTAAAAGAAACAACACTATAGAAAACTGATATTATCAGAGTATTACTGGGTATTCGTGAGTATCTGAACTGAGTAGTATTGGTTCATCATTAGCCATCCCTAATTAAAGAGATTTTTAAATATTGACCTTAACTCAGCCAGTAAAAACCTGATGGTCCAAAGCCTTGAAAAGTGAGAAGCACAAACCATATTTACTATTGAATTGGTGCAAATGTATGCTTTCATCTTGGCACAATTGTTACACATAAATTAGAAAATAAATTATAGTGCAAAATTAAAGGAGCCCAAATTGTTTTGCACAATTGATTCCTTTTTTGCCCTAAAGGAGAACCCCAATCTTTATAACCAGAACAGAGTTATAATCATCATGGATCGAACTGGTCAAGGGTTTTTCATTTTTTTACATTAATTTTACAGATTTATACAGTACACACTGTACTTTTCATGTTAAATTTTATTTTTTGACTTAAAATCAAACCCAATTAGTGTATGAGCGAGTGTGAACAAAACCAATTTAAAAAGTCTGAATAAAAAACTTTCATTGTTTACACATCACAAGCTCCAAAAACTGTTAAACAACAGAAAGAAAGTTCAGACTATCCATCATCTGATGCTAAGGTGGAAGTTATTATAAAAACATTATGAGTTTTGGTGATTTTTACAAAGTATGTGTTGCTTCTACAGGGAAAAACATCATAGGATTAATCAGACAGTTAGAAATGATATGATATATCTTTTAAACAAAAATTGTTATTGATTCTGTAAAAATATTTGTGTACAAAATGTGGTAGTTAATTTTCCAATGTATATTTTCAATATCTACTGTAAAATTAAAAATAATGCGATGTATGGGTCATTAATAACTGGTCCTTGAGATATCCAAAAAAGATCTAAGAGTATTATACCTAACAAGTTTGTTAATAATGAATTTCCTGTTTAAACAACTACTTCCAGCTGCAGTACAGAGTATACCCAAAGCCTGAATAATAAAAGAACAGAGTTCCAATGTCCCATGCATTGCACATATTTTATCAATCCAAGGTAGAAGGGCAATAACTAAAAAATACACTTTTTTTTTGTTCTTTAAAATTGTTCATAAATATCTTAGAGAAATGAATGCTTCAGAGCAAATTCAATGTGATTTCCAGTATAATTACACCTTATTTAAGAATGCTGTATTTTGATTGGTTGTTAGCCAGTGTATTTTTCGCATATTCTAACATTTTTTCCTCATTTCAAACGAATTTGCCAGTTTTTTCACCACTGCCAGTGAATTTGCCTCAAATTCCCCTCTCTGCCGTGGTATTTGCCATTTAAAAATACCAGTCTTGGGACCAAATTTCCCTCGCCTAGCGGCTTGGGAAATTTCACAGTCCCTGGACTGGTATTTTTTGCAAATACCCCTCCATAACATGATATATCTGTTCATAATTAATATTTCCAAGGGGCATAACATGTTTAAAATATTTGATCAGCACATATTTTCGAAATTGTCAAAGGCATTGCTGATATAAAACTATGATATAAATCTCATAAAATTCTGGCAAGAATTGTACACATGAGAGCGCTAATGATGCAATTTTCCATATAACTAATATTTCCAAGGGGCATAACTCTCTTAAAATCAAAGCACCAAGGGCGCTATAGGCAGTTAATTAAAAAACTCCAAGGCAAACGTGGCAGAAGCTTAAGTTAAGATGAATATTGTGGAAGAACTGGTTTAATTATTTATCTCAGCTATTTCAAGTTAAAAAAATGTTTGTACCTTAATGTTTCCGCTATCCAATCCTACCATTTTCAAAAGTTATTTCTAATTTATCTTAAAGCTGTTTCCTTTAAAATGAGCCTTAAATGACAATATTTTTAGGTGTAATACCACCAAATCATAGTACGTCACATCCGGTTGCATACGAAAATAGGTCGAAAAAAAATATTCCCTTGAATTTGACAGTTGTAGGTAATTCATCCTACATTTCATTGCAGTAAAACATTTCTGGGTCATAAACATATATCTTGGGTATTTCAAAGCACCATTATTTTTTTGTTTGGGGTTTCTATAGAATATTTTTGAAACTTGAGGTTACATGGTTACTAAAGCTTGTACACAGGTTAAAAAAGGGGGAAAATTTGATTGGTTAACTTCCAGTGATGGTTATTTTCTTATATGCAATGAAATGTTATGTGAAATTTTTTCTATAGAACTGAACAGGATAAAACTTTACTCATGCCAAGTATTTCTTTATTTGAAACAAAGATAAATTCTGCACAATTTTTTGAAAAGTGCAAATTTAACAAAGACTAATAGGGGAAAATCAATGGTGGTATTACACCTTATAGGCCCAGAAATAACTCAAAAAACAATTAAAGTAAGTTCAACCTAGACTTATTTCTTGCATCAATTAAATTCTATAATAAACAAGAAATAATTGTAACAGGATACTGTTACGAAGTCTCCCAAACAAAGCTCCTATAATTCGTCATTCCCATGGTCGCCTACAAATTGGTTTGGTCAAGTAAAGTGATATGCATAGATTGACCCTGTATGTCATTCAAACATTCTTGCGTTGACGAACAGGAATATATTTGGTTTAGGGGTGGGGATCTCGACCGTTTTCAAGTTCTCAAAAGGTGGGGGTTGATACCCAGGGGACTCTCCCTTTATTTCATTTGATTTGTTTTAATGTCCCATACAAGAATATATATGGTTTCGGGGTGGGGATCTCGACCGTTTGCAAATTTTCAAAAAGAAGAGGGCTGGGGTGACCCCCATGGACTAATCCCCTATATTTTATTTTATTTGTTTTATTGTCCCATACAAGAATATATATGGTGTAGGGGTGGGGATCTCAACCGTTTACAAGTTCTCAAACAGGAGGGATGGAGTGAACCCCCAAGGGGCTCCCCTATATTTAATTTTCTTTGTTTTATTGTTCCATACAAGAATATGTATGGTTTAGGGGTGGGAATCTCGACCATTAACAAGTTCTCAAACGGGGTGGGGGGGGGGGGGGGGGGGGGGGGGGAGGGGGGGGGGGGGCTGGTTGACCCCCTGTGGACTCCTCCTGTATTTCATTTTATTTGTTTTATTGTACCATACAAGACTATGTATGGTTTAGGGGTGGGGATCTCAACCGTTAAGTTCGTAACAGAAGGGGATGGGGTTGACCCCCAGGGACTCCCCTATATTTTATTTGATTTGTTCTATTGTCCTGTTATCATTACTGAAGATCGTGTGTGTGTCTATCACTTACTGTTTTCAAGTAATAGTCATTTGAAAATTGAAAAAAAATAATATCCCATAGTGTTCTATAGTAAACCCCTCCCTTATTCAGGCCCCTCAAAATACCCCTAAATAGACCCCTATGCACAAACGAAAGATTGATAACTCCGCTAGACATGTTAGTTTAACATTTTATGAAACCCTAAGTAAATCTGACAAGTGGTCCGAGTTGTCTTCTAAGACGGTCAGAGTGGACTCGGTCCGACTTGTCTCGGGGACGAGTTGTCCACATTTCTTAAAATATCCCATCAACGTCGATTTTCGGATCTTTTTCATTCATAAAAACAACATTCATAAAAACAACAACAACTGCCAAGGTCAGTGATAAACGGGATAATATAATAAAGGAAAGGAATTTAAATGTGCATACATTTTATTGAAATAAATAAATTAATCACAATCTTCTTAACGAAAAGAACATAATTATTAACAAAACTTACTTTAAAACATCAGAATACTTAACCTTACGTTTTGTGTAAGTAAAAATTACCGCCAACTTAGACTACTACATATAACTTTATTTCCTCTATCATAGATAATTGGTGTACATGAACAATATTCCTGCGCCTTTGGCCATTTGGGAAATGTAAACGACTTGTAATTAGAGATTTTCGGCGATGAAATATTTCATACAATTGTTCTTTGACATCTTAGCCAAAAGCACATGGGATGATAAACTACGTACGAATTTCTATTGAGCACTACTTCCTATGTGCAACTTCAAAAGTTTTGGGTAGTTCGACGATCATTTAAGGTTTTTCTGGTCATATTTTTTGTATTCCAGAATTGAAAGTATGAAAAAAGTGCCCAATTAGTTATTAATAACATATTAGCCAGCTAGATAATAACAATAGCACTTTTTACACCATTTAGTGGGAAGAACACAAATCTAGGGTGGTAGCATAAGGCAGCTTTACTGCCTAAAAAATTGATCGGCACAGATTTTCGAAATCATCCAAGACATTGACTATATCAACCTATAATATAAATTTCATAAAATCTGGCAAGAATTGTACACGAGAGCACTCACAAGGCAATTTCCATATAATTAATATTTCCAAGGGCATATCTTTTTAAAAAAATAATTGATCAGCACATATTTTCGAACTCGTCCAAGACATCGCTAATATAAACCTAAGATATAAGTTTCATAAAAATCTGGCAAGAATTTTACACAAGAGCGCTAGCGATGCAATTTTGCATATAATTTATGTTTCCAAGGGGCATAACTCTTTTTTAAATAATTCATCAGCAATGATTTTAGAACTCTTCCAAGACACTGCTGATATAAACCTATGATATAAGTTTTATAAAAATCTGCCAAGAATTGCACATGTAAGAGCACTAACAAGACCAGACAGACAGATGGATGGACGCCCATTATTTGTATGTCCCCCTGCAATGCGTTGCGCAGGGGACAAAAAATTTTTTTTTTGGTAGACTGCCAATCTTTTAAGTTTAATACTTGGGTGGTGAGTAGGGTAAGCGTAGCCCAGTGTCAGAGCAGCCTACAAAAACTATCCCTATGTCCATTCCTGGATCCAAGAAGTCAAAGATATGGAAAGAAATCATCAAAACTGACCATCTTTATCATGTATATGATTTGCAAAATATGTGGCTGTGGCTCACAAATTATAACTAGTTCTATGAATTATGATCATGAGTAATATGACCCCTAGCAGAAAGCAGGTCTTGCACATTTCGCCAGCTAGGATTATAAGGGGTACCCTTTTTCTTGCTATGATGTGTCTGTCCATATATTTGTTAGAGTGTGGTTTATTACTTCAAACCCCATTTTCCCACCATAGTTCTCACACGCCAAGCAAAACAAGCTCCATCATAATGAAACTACTCACCAATAATCAGTTCTGTATCTGTAAGCTCAACAAAAGCAGACAATTTCTGTACTTCCCAAAGAAGACAAGATAGTGTGACATTATATAGTGGAATGTTGGCAACAGAGAAAAAAAAACAATCTTCCCCTGCATCTTATAGATAGCTGGGCATAAAATCAGGTTATTCAATTAAAACAGGAATATAGCCTAGTATATTTTTATCATCTATGGTAGTTAGGACTGAGGTATATATTTTATATCTTAACTACAAATGTATGTAATAACTTTCTGCAATTAAATTGATTGTGTTCCATGTATCCCAACAAATTACAACTAGAGGCTCTAAAAAGACTGTGTCACTCACCTAGGTCTATGTGCATCTTCAATATTATAGACTACTGTTTACAGTTTCTCTCTATCTGATTTAGTTTTTGCCCAAAAAAAAACAAAACAAAAGTAAAAAAAAAATCATCATTTAAGGGCAATCACTCCTATCTACAAACTTTTTTGGCAGAATTTGACCTGATTGCAAATCTTGTCTTGCTGAAATTTTTTGTTACCGGTAATGTTCTATCTATCTTTTATAGTTTTCAAGATAATAGGCTAAAACACCAAAAATTGGAAAAAAATCATCATTAAAGAGCAATAACTTCAATCACCAGTCAACTGAAGAATTCGGCTATTAGTCTTATTTGTAGATCTTGTCTAGCTGATCACTTATGCTGTTTAAAGTTTCTATGCATCTATTGTAGTTTTTAAGATTTTAGGCAAAAATGCAAAAAAAAATTGGTAAAAATTGTCATTAAAGGGCAAGAACTGTAACAAGGAGTCGATTGAGGATTTCCACAATTTTGACTTCATTGGAGATCTTGTCTTGCAGATCAGTTTTGCAGTTTAATGTTTCTCTCTATCTATTATAGTTTTCAAGATAATACTGTAAATTCAGAAATTATTGCGAGGTTTTTATTTTTGGGAATATTGCGACTGAGTAAGTACATGTATCGCAATAATAAAAACTCGCATTCTGATATCTGTTACATAAATATGTATGCAGATTATCATGAAGTCGCAATAATTAATCTCGCATTTTTGTCCCTTCTTTAAAAATCGCAATGATAAATGCACGCAATAATTTCTAAATTAACAGCAGGCAAAATGGAAAAAAAAGTAGAAAATTAGTCACTTTAAGGCAACAACTCTAATAAGAAATTGTCTGACAGTTTTGACGTAAATAGATAATAAGTAGAGCTCAACATTCTGAACATTTTTGCCCAGGTAAGTTTTTACATCGCGATGACCGTGAGGGCATTCCGATGTATTACTATCGCCTAGATTTCAATTACATCACTTTCCTTTTGGGTTTGTAACCGATCTATAAACATGATAAATACACGGATATTAACGAGTGCAAAATAACATTCCTTATCGTTTGTTATAAATACATCTCTTCATTGAATACTGATAACAATATTTTTGTTTAGAACATAAATTAATAATATGAAAATGTTTTGTCGTTAGATATATATATATAAGTAAAAAATCATTGATATGGTAAAGCATGCGGAAGAATATCTCACGAACATTTTGCGACAATCCCGGAAAGGACCGGTAACTCTGCATGGAAGATGTTTTTACGGGAAAAAATGAATGCCTACTCATATCCAATCTTTTAGAAAAATCAATTTTTACAGAAGAGTGTCCACCATGCACTTGCACTGCACTCTTATTAGAATAGTAGAATAGAATAATATACAAATGGATGAAAATTATATATACATGTAACTGTTATATTAATATAATATATAACAACAAACCAGTGTATACTGATTTGTATTACTACAATATAATAGTTATTACACTGAGGTTGAATTTCCTGTCATTTATTCATCATCCACACACGAACTTGTCTTAGAAAAAAAATATCTCTGTACATTAACCTCAGTTTCAGGTATAGAGATGTGATTTTTTTCTGTGATAAGTGCTTTTAACAATCCACAAGGACTTGCGGTCATCCAATGTTTAGTACTTCAGTACTTTGATTCTTTATCTATAGCGATTTTCAAAATAATAGATAAAACATACATTTTACCCCTATGTTCTATTTTTAGCCATGTCGGCCATCTTGGTTGGCAGGCGGGGTAATCAGACACATTTTAAAACTAGATATCCCAATGATGATTGTGGCCAAGTTTGGTTAAATTTGGCTCAGTAGTTTCATAGAAGATGATCTTTGTAAAAGTTAAAGGACGACAACGACAGACGTCGGACGCCAAGTGATGGGTAAAGCTCACATGGCCCTTTGGGTCAGGAGAGCTAAAAAAGTAAGTTTCATATTAAAAGCCAATTTTTATGTTACATACCTTCAAGTAAATCTATCTGATCTTTGCTTGGTTTCAAGAAACCTATAAATAAAATGTAATCATCATTTATTTTGGTAAATATTTTTCAGGGCATTTATTTCTTTCATTTAAACAATAAGAAATATTGCAAAATTATAGAAAAAAAAAAAAGATTTATTGATCAAATGATTTCATATTTTGAACAGTCATTCCGTAAAAGTGTAACAAAAAATTTGTTCTGGTGTGATATTTGTTCCACCAAAATATGTTCCACCGGAATTTATATCACAGAAAATCTAAACCGGAATATATATTATAAGGAAATATATTCCAGCACTGTAAAATTTGTTCCGGAACTAATTTTCTGACCAAATGTATAATAAGTTCTGGAAGAAAAATCACAGCTGCATGAATTTTGTTAAAATATTAAATGTTTTAAATAAAATGCTTGGCTGGGGCGCAGCTTGATACGACCGCAGAGGTCGAACCCTGAACAGTTGGGGCAAGTATTGACACAACATTCAAGCTTGATACAGCTCTGACTTTGGATTGTTATTAAATATTTGACACAGCATAGGTTTCTGACACAGAAAGAATGTGGTCTAAGAACTTGAATTTTTTTAATTTACCTATTATGGTCCAATGTCCAAAATCAAAATACATGGTTAGATTCAGCATATCAAAGAACCCCATATATTCAATTTTTGTTAAAATCAAACAAAGTTTAATTTTGGACCCCAACTTGGACAAACTTGAAAACTGGGCCCATCATAAAAAATCTAAACACATGTTTAGATTCAGCATATCAAAGAACCCCAAGAATTCAATTTTTGCTAAAATCAAACTAAGTTTAATTTTGGACCCTTTGGACCTTAATGTATGTAGACCAATTTAAAAAACGGGACTTAAAATTAAAAATCTTAATACACGGTTAGATTTGGAATAACAAAGAACCCCAATAATTCAATTTTTGATGAAATCAAACAAAGTTTAATTTTGGACCCTTTTGACCTCAATATGAACCAATTTGATAGCGGGGCCCACAAATAAAAAATCTAAATTCATGGTTAGATTCAGCATATCAAAGAACCCCATATATTCAATTTTTGTTGAAATCAAAAAAAGTTTAATTTTGGACCCCAACTTGGACCAACTTGAAAACTGGGCCCATAATCAAAAATCTAAATACATGTTTAGATTCAGCATATCAAAGAACCCCATATATTCAATTTTTGTTGAAATCAAACAAAGTTTAAATACTGGACCCTATCTTGGACCAACTTGAAAACTGGGCCCATAATCAAAAATCTAAACACATGTTTAGATTCAGCATATCAAAGAACCCCAAGAATTCAATTTATGTTAAAATCAAACTAAGTTTAATTTTGGACCCTTTGGACCTTAATGTAGACCAATTTAAAAAACAGGACCCAAAATTAAAATCTAAATACACGGTTAGATTTGGAATATCAAAGAACCCCAATAATTCAATTTTAGATGAAATCAAACAAAGTTTAATTTTGGACCCTTTTGACCTCAATATGAACCAATTTGATAACGGGGTCCACAAATAAAAAATCTAAATACATGGTTAGATTCAGCATATCAAAGAACCCCATATATTCAATTTTTGTTGAAATCAAACAAAGTTTAATTTTGGACCCCAATTTGGACCAACTTGAAAACTGGGCCAAAAATCAAAAATCTAAATACATGTTTAGATTCAGCATATCAAAGAACCTCATATATTCAATTTTTGCTAAAATCAAACAAAGTTTAATTTTGGACCCTTTGGACCTTAATGTAGACCAATTTGAAAACTGGACCCAAAATTAAAAATCTAAATACACTGTTAGATTCGGCATAACAAATAAATAAATGTGATCAAAGATTTTACAAATCTAATGCGCCATACTGTGCAATTAAAGATTACTTCTTGAAATTTGAAAAAAAAAAAATATTTGAAGAATAATTCTTTTTAATTTCTGAAATCTGAAATGAGAAAAAATTGACCCCCACAATTTCTTTTTATCCCCCCCCCCCTTTTTTCCCCAAAAAAATTCTTTCCCTCAAGATATGGTCATAATCTCAATTCAAATTTCCAATGGAGTTGGCAACCATAATTACCCATTTAAATTTACCATAGTGCTAACTTAATCTATTTTATAATAGAATTAAAAATATAGTGTCAAATCTTTCATATGGATTTTTTTGTAAAAAAAAAAGATGCAACATTTGCAGATATTTTTACTGGTCTTCCTTTATAAATATGCATTTCTTTAAACATAATTTAAAAGCAGTGTAAGGGAAGTAACCAAAACATTGTATTTGGATTACCTCCCTTACACTGTTTTAAATTATCTTTATTGTTCATTAACCATTAGTTTATACATAATTTAAAAGCAGTGTAAGGGAGATAATTTCAATGATGAATTTGATTTATCTCCCTTACACTGCTTTAAATTATGTTTTGTACTAAAGTATTTGTCCATTAACCAGGACAACCTTGTTTTTCCCCCTTTTTTGCCCCTAATTCCTAAACGGTTTGAGCCATAACCCCCCAAAGCAAATCCTAACAATCCCTTTGTGGTATGGAAACTTGTAGTATAATTTCAGAGAGATTCATACACCGTTCCACAGTTATTGTCTGGAAACTAGAAAATGCTTATTTTTGGCCCCTTATTCCTTAACTGTTGGTACAATAACCCCCAAAATCAATCCCAACCTTCCTTTTATGGTATTTAACCTTATGGTCAAATTTCAAAAAGATCCATTCACTTAAACTAAAGTTAGAGTGTGAAAACCAATGTGTCTTCGGACGACGACGCTGGACGCCAACGTCATACCAATATACGACCACAAAATTTTTTTGCGGTCGTATAAAAAGTGAATTAAGTTTCTGTGATAACAGGTCAGAAGGAACATATGTCATAGAAATCAATGAATAAGTTCCGCTCGAACCTATTTCACAGAAAATAAGTTCCTTTGCAACATATTTCACAGCGGAACATGTTCTTGTTACACTTAAATGATTAGCAAGCTGGATGCTGTACTGTGCTTGCATGGGGTACTTATTACACTTAAATTAGCAAGCTGGATGCTGTACTGAGCTTGCATGGGATACTTGTTACACTTAAATGATTAGCAAGCTGGATGCTGTACTGAGCTTGCATGGGATACTTATTACACTTAAATGATTAGCAAGCTGGATGCTGTACTGTGCTTGCATGGGGTACTTGTTACACTTAAATGATTAGCAAGCTGGATGCTGTACTGAGCTTGCATGGGGTACTTGTTACACTTAAATGATTAGCAAGCTGGATGCTGTACTGAGCTTGCATGGGATACTTATTACAATTAAATGATTAGCAAGCTGGATGCTGTACTGTGCTTGCATGGGGTACTTATTACACTTAAATTAGCAAGCTGGATGCTGTACTGAGCTTGCATGCGGTACTTGTTACACTTAAATGATTAGCAAGCTGGATGCTGTACTGAGCTTGCATGGGATACTTATTACACTTAAACGATTAGCAAGCTGGATGCTGTACTGTGCTTGCATGGGGTACTTGTTACACTTAAATGATTAGCAAGCTGGATGCTGTACTGAGCTTGCATGGGGTACTTGTTACACTTAAATGATTAGCAAGCTGGATGCTGTACTGAGCTTGCATGGGATACTTATAACACTTAAATGATTAGCAAGCTGGATGTTGTACTGTGCTTGCATGGGGTACTTATTACACTTAAATGATTAGCAAGCTGGATGATGTACTGTGCTTGCATGGGGGTACTTGTTACACTTAAATGATTAGCAAGCTGGACGTTGTACTGAGCTTGCATGGGGTACTTGTTACACTTAAATGATTAGCAAGCTTGATGCTGTACTGTGCTTGCATGGGGTACTTGTTACACTTAAATAATTAGCAAGCTGGATGTTGTACTGAGCTTACATGGGGTATTTGTTACACTTAAATGATTAGCAAGCTGGATGCTGTACTGAGATTGCATGGGGTACTTGTTACACTTAAATGATTAGCAAGCTGGACGCTGTACTGTGCTTGCATGGGGTACTTGTTACACTTAAATGAATAGCAAGCTGGACGCTGTACTGTGCTTGCATGGGGTACTTGTTACACTTAAATGATTAGCAAGCTGGATGCTGTACTGAGCTTGCATGGGGTACTTGTTACACTTAAATGATTAGCAAGCTGGATGCTGTACTGAGCTTGCATGGGATACTTATTACACTAAAATGATTAGCAAGCTGGATGCTGTACTGTGCTTGCATGGGGTACTTGTTACACTTAAATGATTAGCAAGCTGGATGCTGTACTGAGCTTGCATGGGGTACTTGTTACACTTAAATGATTAGCAAGCTGGATGATGTACTGTGCTTGCATGGGGGTACTTGTTACACTTAAATGATTAGCAAGCTGGATGCTGTACTGTGCTTGCATGGGGTACTTGTTACACTTAAATGATTAGCAATCTGGATGCTGTACTGTGCTTGCATGGGGGTACTTGTTACACTTAAATGATTAGCAAGCTGGATGCTGTACTGTGCTTGCATGGGGTACTTGTTACACTTAAATGATTAGCAAGCTGGATGCTGTACTGTGCTTGCATGGGTTACTTGTTACACTTAAATGATTAACAAGCTGGATGCTGTACTGTGCTTGCATGGGGGTACTTGTTACACTTAAATGATTAGCAAGCCGGACACTGTACTGTGCTTGCATGGGGTACTTGTAACACTTAAATAATTAGCAAGCTGGATGCTGTACTGGGATTACATGAGGTACTTGTTACACTTAAATGATTAGCAAGCTGGACGCTGTACTGAGCTTGCAATGGGTACTTGTTACACTTAAATGATTACCAAGCTTGATGCTGTACTGAGCTTGCATGGGGTACTTGTTACACTAAAATGATTAGCAAGCTGGACGCTGTACTGTGCTTGCATGGGGTACTTGTTACACTTAAATGATTAGCAAGCTGGATGCTGTACTGAGCTTGCATGGGGTACTTGTTACACTTAAATGATTAGCAAGCTGGACGCT